AACCTGAGCTCTTGGCATGCAAACATGTACTTGCTCCCATTGAGCTATCTCTCCAACAGCCATCCCCCCCCCCCCCCCCCCGCGCGCGCACACACACACACACACACACACACACACACACACACACACACACTCCCTGCCTACTCTCCAGTCTCCAGTTCAGGTTTTGATTTCTCTAAAAAGTCCGGAGTGGGGCCAGAGTGATAGTACCATTGGGTAGGGCACTTACCTCGCATGCGGCCAACACAGGTTCAATCCCCAGCCTCTCATACGGTCCCTCAAGCACCACCAGGAATAATTCCTGAGTGCAGAGTAGGAGTAAGCCCTGAGCATCACCAGGTGTGTGTGGCCCCCCCAAAAAAACAAACAAAAGTTTTTCACACTATTTCAATCAAAGGGTTTTCCTTTTAAGCTGCTAGGGAGAGGGGGGATATTGAGGCCATAACCAGTGCTGTCTAGGGGCTACTCTTGGCAATGCTCCAGGGGCCATGCCGGGGATTTGAACCCAGCTGGCTGAATGTAAGGCGAGCACCTTAACCTTTGTACTGTCTCTCTGGATAGTTTCTTTCCTGTGAATGTCAATTGGTGGAACTGTTTCAAAGGCGAAGAAGCCACTGCTTATGCCACCTCACCCCCATTCATGACCAGCCAACAAACTTCAGATGGCTGTTCATAAGCTTCTGATCAGAAGCGCCTAACTGTCTGGTTTTCTGCCTCCTTTCAGATGTTCTGCGGTTTGACAACACCTATAGTTTCCTTCATGCCAAGAAGGTCAGTTTCACGGTGGAGGTCCTGCTTCCAGACAAAGCCTCAGAAGAGAGGTTGAACCAGCTGGGGGTGGTCACCCCCAAGTAATACCTCCTCCCACAGCAGGCCTGGCTCCCTCGGCGTCCCCCTGTCCATTTCTATTCCTTGTAGCAAGTCATTCTCCCAGCATCTTGAAAGCCCCCCCAAACCAGAAAGACCTCAGGCTGGATCTGGGGACAGTTCATTTCCAAAAGAGGAAGAGAGAAGGTAGCAGGGGGTGGGGCTTCTTGCCTACAATTACGAGGAGTGCCCGGGGACTGGGCATCACGATAGGACTGAGCTATTTTCCTGTGAGCTGTGCCAATGCCACCTGTCCAGTGACAACTGAGATGGGGAGGGGAGGGGGGGTGCCTTGGCAGGGTGGAGAAGGGGAGATTAGAAAATGGGGGAAGAGACTGAGCCCTGACACTTCAAAGGAGCCAGCTGCAGGGGAGGAACTTGCTCTCAACGGGCACTTTGCAAGTCTAGGTGGTAATGGGGAGTAGCAAGGTAGCCTTACGGTGGACCAGGTCAGCGGTGCTCCGAAACATTCTTCTAGTGGGGCTGGGATCATAGAGCTGGGGTCCCCCAGGTCTCAGGAGGTGGCCCAAGTCTGCACAAGTTCTTCCAGGCTTCTTGGGGACATAGCCTGGCCTTCACCTTGAGAACCTCAGTTAACTCTTCCTGGGTCAGTCCAGTGATTGTCAGTGGCTCGAGTTTCTGGGACAGTGACGGTGAGCTGGAGCTTTCTGTCCCAGTCTCCAAGCAAAGCCCAGGGAAATTACCTCTCCGGGCAGAACTCCATGATGGGTCTGGGAGGCTGAACTTGGTAGCGAGTCTTCCACCCTCCTTTTCAGGGCTGCCAACGTCTAAACCCCCAAAAAAAACGCACTCTAGGAGGGATCCAGGCAAAACGAATGCACTCAGCGGGGCATTTTTCTCTCCCAGGGGGCCCATCTCAGGGCTCTTCCGCCAACCCTCCCCGACCCGATCAAAATCTCCGAGAGGTGGGAGGCAGTAGCTTCCTCACGCCCAAGGACTGGCTGCACCGCCGGCGTGCAAAGCTCTGCCAACACCTGGCAGCCAGGAGCTAGGGGCAGCCCCAGAAACCCTCGCAGGCGCGGCCACTCTGCTCACGGGGACAGGCAGGGCTGACCCTGGGGGCAGCCGCTCTGCAGGCAAGCACAGCACACGGAAAGGCGGCCAGACCTGGGCCCTCGCAGAAACTCCTTTCCCGCAGATCCAGCCCGGGGGTGTGGGGGAGCTGGTCTCGTCAAACTGGGGGAGCAGAAGTAGGCACTGGGCCGCCGCCTACGCGACAGGGTCCGCAGCTGCAGGGGGCCCGAAGGTCGCACGGACCCCAGCAGGACCCCGCTGGAGGACTTCCCAACCTTGGTTTACAACGCTCTGTTAGGAAAATTAACCAACGAATAAAGCAACGTCCAGTGCGCAAGGTGCGGGAGTCAATGCATACCGCCTCGCTCCTCGCCGCCCCTCCTTCAGCGCCCCAACCAGACCCCAGGGCCGTCCAGCGGCGATAGGCTGGGCGCATGCGCGAAAGCCACCCCCCCCCCCTTCTCTTCTCGCGTGAGCTTTCCCGCGGGACGGTCAACTTGCCTCCTGATTGGCTCAGCTAGGGCCCTGCCTCCCGCCATCTTTGCTAAGGGCACTGAGGATGCTATTGGCCGCCCTCCACGTCAGGGCGGAGCTTCCGCCCCGCTCGCACTTCAAAGTGCGGACCGGTGAGGCCAAAGCGCACCGGCTCCCGCGGGTCCCGCGCCCTAGGTGGGCCAGGAGTTGGAGGGAGGCTCTCGAGTGACGATCACGCGGTGTTAGGGACCGTCCCCTAATTCCTCGCAGGCACCGCCGGCCTTTCAGGGTCTGGAGATCGATTTGCGCTGGCTCAGCCTCCTTCCTGGTCCTTGCTGACAGGTCTGCCCTATGTGACCCCACAATGACAGCGACGCCCAGAGCTGAGAAGGCTTTCAGAAAGGAAGTCAGGTGGCTCTTGATTCTCTCATCTTTTTTGGATCATAATGAAAACTAATTCCTTGATTAGTTATTAGGCACGAATAACAGTCCCGTGTTTTTCATGGGAACTGGGGACCAAGGGCTAACCCTGGCAGGCTCAATTGCACAGTTGAATTTTTTTGGTTTGATTTTTTTTTGGTTTTGGGCAACACCCTGCAATGCTCAGGGTTACTCCTGGTTCTGCACTAGGAATCTCTCCTGGCGGGGTTTGGGGGACCATTTGTGGTGCTGGGGATCAAACCCTGAGTGCAAGGTAAACGCCCTACCCTCTGTACTATCATCCCAGAACTCACAATTGGAATTTGAGTGCAAGACTGCAGCAGTCTCTAATGGTGATGTTTTTGCCTTGTTGATACCCACCTCCACCCTCCGGCATACCCCTCCTCACCCCCACACCCCTACAAGGGATTCACAGAGATTCAGTGAATTGCACATATAGGTAAACTGAAGTCCAGTATGTGGGTGGTTCTTTCCTTGATTGGAATCCCCAACTCCCAAATCCCCTGATTCTCTTCTGTTCATTTCTCTGAAATCTTGTATCCCAGTCCTGTTTTCCTTCGCCTCATTCATTCATTCATTCATTCAACGCCCTGCCCCCACAAGAATCTGGGTGAGACCCGAGGCAGGTAGATCAGTTAGACTCTAGTGCTTTCTGGATTACTACCTGCTGGGAATGGAATCCAAACACCCATCCACCAAGCACTGATTTGAGCATCAAGGGTCCTACCAATCATTCTCCCATACTCCTTTCCTGATATCGCCTTGGGGAGGGTGGGGTATGGGGCCCCACTGCCTTTATTCAAACCCTGTTTCACCACTTAGCAGCTGGTAAAGTGATTTCCCATTTCCTCATCTATAAAATGGGGGTCCCAGGCTGGTCGGGGAGCTTAAGGAAGCATTCTCTCTGGAGACTCAGGAACATTCCAGGGGACATTGAGCTCAGAGCATGCATGCTGGGCCAGGGTGCTGCTTGGCTGTCCAGCATGTGCACACAAAGGGAACATGTTTGGGCCTGAGAGTGCAGTGGGCTGGAGCGCGTGTTTTGCCCGTAGGAGGCTGGGGTTAAATTCCTGGCGCTCCTTGGTTCCCAAGCACTGCCAGGAGTGCAGGTACAATTCCTGAGCACTGACTTGGGAGCCCTCTGAGCACCTCTGTGCTAAAATTTTTATTTATTTTATTTGGAGGCCACACCTCGCCGTGCTTAGGGCTTACTCCTGGCTCTGCTCGGGGATTATTCCTGACAGGGCTCAGGGTGTGATCATATGTGATGCTGAAGATCAGATACCCTGGTCAGTTGTGTGCCAGGCAAGCACCCTACCTCCTGTACTATCTCTCCAACCCCTGTGGCCCCAAATTTTTAGACACCCCCTCACCCTCCAACCCCCGACCCCAAATGCCTGCTCTGTCTTTGTTTCTCTGTCACCCTCCAACCCCCGACCACAAATGCCTGCTCTGCCTTTGTTTCTCTGTCTCTGTCTCTGTCTCTCTCTGCTTTTCACGTTCTGGAGAAGTCCCCGGTCCCTCTTGAATACGTATTCCTGTCTTTATTCTCTCCCTTAACATCTTTTTTAAGTAAATTTCATTAAATAAAAACAATCTTGTGGGCTGGAGTGATAGCACAACGGGTAGGGCGTTTGCCTTGCACGTGGCTCACCCGGGTTCAATTCCCAGCATCCCATATGGTCCCCTGAGCACCGCTAGGCGTAATTCCTGAGTGCAGAGCCAGGAGTAACCCCTGCCTATCGCCGGGTGTGACCCGAAAAGCAAAAAAAACAAAAAAAACAAAACTTGTTTCACTTAAAAAAAAAAAACTTCCTTCCTACATGTACAAACAGGTCACACCGTGCTGACAGTCCTAACGGGTCCCCACACGGAGTGGATTGTCCCAGAGTGTTTCTGTTTTAACAAAATGAATGAATTAGATTAAAAAAAAGAAACACCGAGACCGGCTTAGAGGCTCCGACCCGCGGTCTCGCAGCTGGGCAGAGCCGCGCCCCGTTTGCACCCAGCCCCATTGGCTGCAAACTCGCGGCTCCGGGCGAGGATTGCGCCAATCGCGGCGCCCCGGGGAAACGTGGCGCCGGGCCCGCCCGCGGTCTCCGGGGCGGAGGGGCTTCGCGCGCCGGGGGAATTTGCAGACGCTCCCTGCTTGGTGGGGACGGAGCGACCGTTGTCCTTCAGTCGGGCCGCGGCGCTCGGGAGCTCGCGTGGACGCCGCGGGCTGCGGGGTCGGCGGGACGGCGGCCCAGCATGGCCGAGCCGGCCCCGCGCGCGGCCGAGCGCGACCTTTTCCGCGACACGTGGGTGCGATACCTGGGTGAGCGCGTGGCCAGTGGGCCCGGCGACCCCCCCTTTTCACGTGGCGGTCGCGCCCCGCTCGGGGGCCGGGAGGAGGAGGAGGAGCCGGGGCCGGAGCCTCGGCTCTTCCCGGCCGGCCTGGGGACTTGCCCAAGGTCGCACGGCTCGCCCGGGTCAGCGCGCCCTCCGGGGGACTCTGCAGCCTGCGCGGAGCGGGGGGGAGCCGGGCAGGGGGTGCTCCCCGCGTTGGCATTCCCGGGGCAGGGGCTGCGGACGGGGCGGGGGCACCTGCACCTGCTTCAGGGCTCCCCATTCCCTGCGTGGAGCTGAGCTCGGGGCACCCGAAGGTTTGGGGTGGTGGCTCAGCGGGCTGGTGCCATGCTTTGCTTGGGGGGTGGGGGTGGGGTCGCAGGTCCATGCTGGCACCACATACTGTGCCCCTAGCAGCACAGGATGTGGCCCCAAACCCGTGAGAAGGGAAGAAGGGGGTTGGGGTACAGCTGGAAGAAAATGAAGGGCAGATCAGCCTGGCACCTGCTGGGCTGCCCCTCGCTCAGTCGCCTTTTTTGTTGTTTGGCTGCTGCTTCCTCCCTCAGCATAGATGCGTCTAGAACCCTGGCTGAGAATGGTGCCCACTACTCTGCTGTCCCTCACTGTGGGGCTCAGAGAGGTCAAGTCACTTGGCTCAGGCTCTGGAGGCTGCGATTAACCCCAGGGGGACACACCCCACTGGGCTCTGCTGATGGGGTTCCTTCCCTCCAGGCTACGCCAATGAAGTGGGGGAGGCGTTCCGCTCCCTGGTGCCAGCAGCCGTGGTGTGGCTGAGTTACGGGGTGTCCAGCTCCTATGTGCTGGCTGACGCCATTGACAAGGGCAAGAAGGCAGGAGAGGTGAGTGGTAGCCTGCCCTTAGCCCCCCACTGGAGCCCCAGGCCTCTCCCTCAGTCTGGCCTGGGGTGCTATCGTGGAGATACCTGAAGCCCTGCCGCCTTTCCTGGACGCTTTGTGTCTCCGTGGGTTTGATTTTTGTTGTTGTTGGTTTTAGTTTTTGGCTTTTTTTTTTTTTTGGCTTTTTGGGTCATACCCGGCAATGCACAGGGGTTACTCCTGGCTCTGTGCTCAGGAATTACTCCTGGCAGTGCTCAGGGGGCCATATGGGATTCTGGGAATCAAACCTGGGTCGACTGCATGCAAGGCAAACGCCCTACCCACTGTGCTATTACTCCAGCCCCAGTTTTTGGCTTTTTGGGTAACACTCGGCAATGCACAGGGGTTACTCCTGGCTCATGCACTCAGGAATTACTCCTGGTGGTGGTCAGGTGGTCATATGGGATGCTGGGAATCGAACCCGGGTTGACCGCGTGCAAGGCAAACATCCTACCCGCTGTACTATCGCTCCAGTCCTCTCCTCGGGTTTGAGAATCGAGACCCCGCCCCCAGCCCGGCAGGTGACACTGGCCCAGTCTGAGTCCAGACCCTAACACTCGCCTGGTTGCGTGCCCCTCCCCCAACTGGCCAGCCTCCTGCCCCATCGGATCTCTTGTGCCTCACAGGTGCCAAGCCCTGAGGCAGGCCGGAGCACCCGGGTGACTGTGGCCGTGGTGGACACGCTCGTGTGGCAGGCTCTGGCCTCGGTGGCCCTCCCCGGCTTCACTATCAACCGTGTATGTGCTGCCTCTCTCTACCTCCTGGGCACTGCCACCCGCTGGCCCCTGGCGGTCCGTAAGTGGACCACAACCACGCTAGGGCTGTTAACCATCCCCATCATCATCCACCCCATCGACAGGTGAGTGCCCTTCCCTGGGACCAGGTACCCCGCAGGTGGGGGTTTCTTCTGGGCGGAGTTTTGCTTTGTACTGAACAGTGGTGGCTGAGGTCAGGCTGACTCAGGACCCCTGTAGACTGTAGGAGAGAGAGTCTGTGCCCCATCATAGAATCTGGCAGGCTGTGAAGGTAGGCGAGTGCCCGAGGGGTATGGGACACAGGACTGGTAAATTTCCCTAAAAGTTGTTTTTACGAAACACCAGAGACAGGTGGGAGCATGCGTACCAAGAAGAGATGGTTTGGGAGTTTTGGTGACAACTCCAGAAGAAACTGGGTTATGTAAAAGAGGCATGAGTTGCTCTGTGAATCTGAAAAAAGTCCGTGCTTTCAGGCATGGCTAGATCTGGGCACCTAAATGATATCATTAGAGAGAGGCTGCCCTTCTTCCCAACTGCCACCTCACGGGAACAGAGCTGACCTCAGGGGCTCCCATCGTCTCTCTGACCAATTTAGCCAACGACCCATAGGAACAGCAAAAATTCTGAGGGGGCCAGAGATATAGTCCAGCAGGTAAGGCTCTTACCTTGCACCCAGGTTCGATACCCCATATGGTCCCTGGAGCTTGCCAGGAGTGATCTCTGTATACAGAGCTAGGAGTAAGCTCTGAGCACTCTCAGGTGTGGCCCAAACCTCTCTGTGCCCCACTCCCCAAAAAATAATATCCCAAGGATAGCTGTCATTAGTCCATCTGGACAGAGCGTCAGCACACCCCTAAGTGTTTCCCTTTTCTGATAGGCCAGGCTTAGATTCTGCCCCTGCTCTTAGAACCAGAGATAGAGTCAACCAACCAGAGACAGAGAGTCAATCAGCCGGTCTCTTCAGAGAGTGGGAGGTAGCATCTTACCCCCAGGGAAAGTTACTGATCTGTGGGTCTTGAGCGAGGCTGGGTCTCAGTTTCCCAAATGAATAAGGCAGAGCTTGGTGGCCGCCCCAAAACTGAGGTCCGGACACCCTTCCCCTCACTTTCACTTTCTGCCTCCCGCCCTGGATTGCCCAATGGCCCCCTTTACTGCCTTCCAGGTCCGTGGACTTCCTCCTGGACTCCAGCCTGCGCAAGCTCTACCCCTCGGTGGAGAAGCCCAGCAGTTCCTGACCCCCTGGTGCCCGATCTGTCGGTCGGCTCCCCCCACCCCTGTGTCATCTTCCTCCTCCGGCCAGCGGATGCGGTCTGTGGCCCTGGCCCCTGAGTGAGTGTTTGCTGCTGGCACACGGAGAGGCTGTGGCCGCAGCGCCTCAGGAATGAGATGGGACCTTGAGCCCCGTCTGCTTCCGTGGACTCGAGATACTGAAGGGGGGTAGGGCCGGGGGGCCAGGCCTGTCTTTTGATCGGAGAGTAGCAGCCTCGTGGGAATGATAAGGAGGTGGAGAGAGGGCAAGGCCGCTTGGCACGGCTGGGAACTCAGGGCTCCCAGTGGCTGGCAGGGGGCGGGGGGGCGGCAGGCACTTGGAGACTGTGCAGTTGCTCAGGCATCCGGTCCTGGGGACTGATTCCCTGGCCTGACTGCAGGGAAGGGCCTCGAGGCTGGACAGCCTAGGGCAGCCTCTGGCCACTCCTTCTCCCCTGCCCAATAAATAAACCCTCAGGAGGTCGCCTCTGCTTTGCCTTTCTGCTGGGGAGGAGCTGGGGAATAAGGGGAGTGCAAAGTTGGTTCTCTCAGCTGGAGACGCCCACCCCTGCTCAGCCTCTCCGCCCTGGCAGGAGCCGCCCCCCCATGTCAGATCCTAGGGCAGGCGTTGCCCCCCCTTCTGCAAGCCTCAGCTCCCTCTGCAGATTCTCCTGAGGGTGCAGAGATAAAAGCAGCCCTGGGCACTCAGGTTTTTTCCAGATTCTGGTGGGATGGCTATTCGATCACTGTACAACTGAAACCCAAGCACAAAAATTTGTAAGTCTACAACTGTACCTCATGGTGTTTCACTAATAAAAATTAAAAAAAAAAAACAACAGCCCTGAGGAGGGTCGGTGGCAGGGCTCCTCTCCCTCCCTTTCTGCCCCGCCCTGCCCCACCCACCCTTGGCCCTAGGCTGGAGGTGGGGTTTTAGGGGATCTAGAAACAGGAGGGGACATTTGGGGTCCAGCTCCTCTGTAGCTGCCTTAGAGTCCGGTGTTCACTTCGGGGAGCACTGGTGGGGGTCCCTTTCCCAGCTCCCCCATGACCTCAGCCTCCAGCTCCCGACGACAGTGCTCTAAGCACCCCTCCTCCACCCTCCCCAGTTCTCTCCTGTCTCCTGTTCCAGGGTGCTGACCCTCCCACTGCCCCAGGTCCACTCCCACACCCCTCATCTGTGGCATCTGGGTCGTGCCACCATCTCCTGCCTCTCCGGCAGGCCAAGTGGAGTTCTCCCCCGGCAGGACTCTGTGCCTGCGCCCTCCCCCACCTTCTGACCTGCCCATCACCTGCCCCGAGCCTCCCCCGCACTTCTCTGGAGGCAGCTTTCCTCTGCCAACCCCAGCCGGCAACCCCAGAGCCCCTCCTGCGGTGGCCACTCAGCCCCCCGCCGCTGTGCTCCCTCTGAGCAAAGGGGGTCTGCCTTGGAAAAAACTAAGGGTGTTCGTTAGCAGGCGCACATACAGGACGCTCCGACAAGGGGCTTGCCACGGTGGCGTTGAGATCTGTGGAACCTGCCTTGAGGGGCGGGTGGGAGAGCCCCCGTCCATCCAGCACACACCTTCCCCTGCACCATCGGAGATGCAGCGGTTACCTCGGGGTGACGTCTGCTTGGTCACTGCCCCTGCTCTGTTCTGAGGCTGCTCTCGGCCACGCCAGCTGAGTCTGACCAGAGGAGGGAACGGCCTGCAGGACCATCACTGAACAAACATTCACATGATGGAGAGGAGGGTCCCCAGATTGACACCTGCCCCTGGGCCTGGCCAGCTGCACCCCCTTCTTAAGCCCTCCCCCACCCCTGCCCAACACCCCCCACCCCCAGTTATGGGACTGTCCGTGCTCCCCTGGGAAGACAGTACAGGACTTTTTTTTTCATTTTTGCGTCACACCCAGCAATGCACAGGCGTTACTCCTGGTTCATACATGCAGGAATCACTCCTGGCGGTGCTCGGGGGACCATATGGGATGCTGGGAATCGAACCTGGGTCGGCCGCGTGCAAGGCAAATGCCCTACCTGCTGTGCTATTGCTCCAGCCCTGACAGTACAGGATTTTTGTTGTTGTTGTTTTGGGGTCACACCTGGCAATGCACAGGTGTTACTCCTGGCTCTGCACTTAAGAGTTACTCCTGGCGGTGCTCAGGGGACCATATGGGATGCTGGGAATCGAACCCGGGTCGACCGCGTGCAAGGCACACGCCCTCCCCTCTGTGCTATCGCTCCAGCCCCAGTAGTACAGGGGTTAAGGCTTTACTTGCATGCAGACAACCCTGACTCCAATCCCCAGCAGCACAGCTGATGCCCCAAGCACCGCCAGGACTCATTCCTGAGCACTGAGCCAGGAGTAGCCCCTGAGTGTGTAGGGTGTGGCCCAACTGCACCTTTCTTCCCCCCACCCCCAATACAAAAATTTCATGTGAAAATAAAGTTTGTGCCTTCGTCTGTCTGGTGCGACTCAAGGGACAGGACTACTCTGCCAGGAGCTGCTGGGACCTCGGAGAGCAGGGGTGGAGGTGGGAGGTCTGGGCTGGGGAAAAGGATGAAACTGACGCAAGCTAGGTGTGGGCGTGGCCTCGTGGGTTGCAGCAGCATTGGTACACACACATGCAGGGTGCTCAGCATCCAGGTACTCATTCCCCCGCAGCCTCCATAGCCCCGGGAGGAGGCAGGACTATATCACCCCCGTTTCCCAGACAGGGAAACAGGTTCACGAAGCAAAGTCCCCATGGTCAAGTACCAGTTGGAATAAGACCCAGAGGGTGGGCCAAGCTGCATCAGTTTGAGCACGCTCTCTCTCTGTCTCTGTCTCTCTGTCTCTGTCTCTCTCTCGGTGTTTTTTTTTTTAATTTTTGCTTTCTGGGTCACAGCCAGCGATGCTCAGGGGTTGCTCCTGACTCTGTACTCAGGAATCACTCCTGGCGGTGCTTGGGGGACCTAATGGGATGCCGGGGATTGAACCCAGGTTGGCCGCGTGCAAGGCAAATCCCTACCCGCTGTGTTATCTATCGCTCCAGCCTCTCTCTCTTGGTTTTTGGCCCACAGTTAGGGATCACTCCTGGTGGGGCTCAGGAAAACCGTATGTGGTGCCGGGGATTGCACCTGGGTTAGCCAAGTGCAAGGCAATTAATTGCCTTACCCGCTGCACTATCGCTCCAGGCCAAGACATCTTTTTTTTTTTAATAAATGTATAAAATAAGTTTTTTTTAAATGTAGGCGTACTGCTATTTCTTCAGCCACTGATTAGCTGATCGAATTGGGCAAGACATTATCTTTTTTTGGTAAGCAGGAGGAGTTTGGGGGTCACACCTCTCTAGGCTCAGGGCTTATTTCAGGCTCTGGACTCAGGGATCTCGCAGACCCTGGAGGACCCTGTGGGGTGCTGGGAATTGAGCAGGGTTGGCTGCCTGAAGAGAAAATGCCTTACTCTCTTACCCTGTGGACTCTTTCTAGTCCTGTATCATCCCCCGTCTCCCCCACTAACTGTTTCGGGGGTACTCCTGGCAGTGCTGGGTTGGGAGAGGATGAGCAGCAGTGCTGGGCGTTGAACCAGGTGAGGCGGTGCCCTGTGCCAGGTGCTCAGACCTCCCAACAGATCCTGGGTGTGGCTCTGCCGAGCCAGTACTGGGATGGGCTTGGGGAGGTTTCCTGGCCCTACTGACCAGGCCTGGGACATTTAGGGGCAGCTGGTCTGGAGCCACTCACAGCCTTGGTGGAAGGGCCGGACTGTGCCCTGCAACCTTGGAGGCTGCCATGGGCTCCTGAGCTCCTGCCACCTGCTGTGACCCCTGGGTCAGCAGGCCCGAGGAGGGACCCAGCTTCCGATCCATCTCAGAATCCCTGCCTCGGGCAAGCCCTGACAAACCCCTTCTCTCTCTCTCTGGCCTCTCTTTGCCCAAGTGTGAAACAAAAGCTTCGTTGGTCTGTCAGGACTGGAGAGGGCGGTCCAGTGGGTTGAGCACAGGCTCCACACACAGGAGGCTCGAGTCTGATCCCCCGGGCAGATCCCGGCAACCCCCATAATTTGAGAATGACTCCTGAGCACAGAGCCAGGAGTAACTCCTGAGCACTGCTGGGTGTGGCCCTCACACAAAAACACAAGCAAAAGCGTGGTTTGCTGCTTTATTTATTATTTTCCTGTTGGGGTCAGAGAAGCCGGGGATTGGACCTAAGGCTCCCACACGCAAATCTGACACCCTTTGGGCCTTCTCCCTGGCTCTACTGACCAGTTATGATTCTGATGATTTTGGTTTGGGGTTACCTGTTGGTACTGAGGTGGGGAGGCTTCTTCCAGCTCAGTACTTGGGGTCACGCTCAGTGTTTGGGGGACCATGTGGTACTGAGATCGAACCCAGGGCTTCCATGTGCAAAGTGATGGCTTGTCACTTTTGAGATCCTTTATCTCTGCGGGGGAGGGGCTACATACACCCAGCGGTGCTCAGGGCTGACTCCTGGCTCTGTGTGTGGGGATCATTCTTGGGGGGCTCGGGGACCAAATGGGGGGCCAGGGATTGAACCCAGGGGAGTGCCCTCCCCGCTGTACTCTCTCTCTGCCCCTGAGGCCTTTCTGAAACAGATACTCAGAGACCGGTTCATCCCCTCCTCTGCAGTGTGCCTTTATCCAAGTTCCCAAGGAGAGAGGTGGCTGATCTCATCGTGCTGAAGGTCCCCTCTGCTCTCTAACTTGGCTTCAGGGTGCAGTTGCAGGAAGGCCAGAAGATCCGGTTCGAGGGTGGGGAGCAGAAAGCTTCCTGGAGGAGAGCTGTGTCTCCTCCACGCTGCATTGCTCAGAAGGGCTCCTTTGTCATTTGTACCCGCCGGGGGACAGGTCAAGACAATCCCATTCTCCGGATCTCCTCCCTGACGCCTCCCAGCAATCCCACGCCGTAGATGCAATCCGTCCTATTTCATAGATGAGGAAACCAGAGGTGACCTGCGCCCAAGTCCCCCTCCAGCTTCCGCCAGCCTCTGCCTCTCCCACCAGGAAGCCTCCCCAGATTGCAGCTGCTGCACGGTGGGGCCTTGGGTTTGATGCCCACCCCAGGCATGAAC